TTCTCCAATGATTGTACAATATTGAGCCAGAGAAATCTACTGTCATATATCTACAAGAGAATATTTGGAGAAATAATTTATTTCAACAATTTTTTTGAAATATATAATTTCTTTCATATAAAATCTGTAACGACGTTATTCATATAGTAGACGCGGTTTTTGATGTGTGACTGTTTAATTTAATTGAATATTACGTTATCGGCGAAAAGCTGGCCTGGTTGCTTCTCTCTCTCTCTCTCTCTCTCTCTCTCTCTTCTTCTTTCATTTTCTCTGGAGCAGTTCGAAACGCGAGGGCAGCCGCGTCTCGTGCACCGAGGGAGATCGAATTTGCGAAATGGCTGTGTATGAGGGCTGAATTCCTGACGAGGTAATTCGCGAGGGCACCCGGCAGAGGCGAAGTAATGTCCCGTGGAAAGTAGAAAGGAAAAGCTCGTAAGGGGGCGAAATTCAAAGTGAATTTTCCAAAGTAGACAGCACATTACGGCGCATCGTCAATCGACTTTGTTAGGGAGTAAAGCTGTCGTCAGACGTACGTGCGAAAGTCGTGTTTAGTCATTTCGCGAGGAGCTTTTCGATTCGCATGGATACCTTATTAACGAAGAATGTCGGTGGTTACAAATGTCGAAGATGTATATTTTATTTCGGAAATATGGTATCCTATTTTATATAAGTTTATTTGAAATTTAAATAACTACTACTAATAATTTTAAAAAATATTCTCTTGCGAACTACTTCAGTATTAGTGCGTTAGCCTATAATCTCAAATGTCTTTTAAGGTAGTTGGTCCGTTAAAATATTTTCTTAAAAATCCTTTTAATTTTAGCTGCATATTGATGGAAATACTATCTATGCGTCTGTAAAGTTAGAAAACAACTGACCATTGGAAAGCTGAGATATTTGTAACTAATGATGACACTTTTTATACGTGTTCCGTGAGATTATTATCATATTTTTAACTTCTATTTCTTATTTCTTATAAGCCACATTTAGAATTTTAATAAAAAATTAAAAAACTACTATGATGTTAAGGGTTAATATAGAGACATTATATAAAAATTTTAGAATTTCTGATCATTTTGTCTTGAAAATCCGGCACCCTACGAACTACTTTAGGGCGAAATCTCTATTTGTATCCGGTACAATAATCGCAAGGTAAAACTTTGTTTCTATCTCGAAACGTTCATTCGCGAAACCTTTTATTCGGATATTAAGTAGTGCGTTAAACGCTAGTCACTTTTCACGAAGGAAATTCGCGGTTGAGCAAAATCGTATTACATTTCGACTGTTCTCTGTACGTTAAATCCCGCATATACGTTCAACTGGGCGTCGCTCCCCTTGATCGCGAAATTTAATCAACATCGAGGACTTTTCTTTATTGCCAGTCGTCAAACGCGTTTAAGTAGAATAAAGGCGTATGGTAGCGATAGAGAGACGAAGCGAAATCGTAAAGAGGAAGAGTAGGAAGAGTTGGAAGAGGAAGAAGGAGAAAACGAGAGAGGGAAAAAAGAAGGAAAGAGGAAGGGAGGGAGGGAGAGAGAGAGAGAGAAGGGGGGAGGAAGAGAAAGAGAGAAGACGAGAGGTTGGAGGAGAGAAAAAGTGCGGGCAAGAAAGGGATGGACCGCGCGGTTTTCATCTGCGAAAATTAAGGAGGAATCCGCCGCGTACCGGTAAGAAAGTCCGCGCTAATTAAGGCTGTTTCTTCAGAGATTTCCTCTTTCGCGGCGCCGGCCGGCCGGTCTGGGCTTTTAAATAAATTATACCGAGTTAAAAGCCCTTCTCTCTCTCTCTCTTCGCACTTCCTCAGATAATCCGTGGGGCCGTTTCGCTCCCGAAGTTATACCCGGGGGAGAAATCTCGGGGGTGGCAAACGAGCGACGAGCGTTCCCCCTTTCCCCTTATGCTTCCCCCACGTTATAGGTATGCCGCGGTGCTATAATGCACCGAGTGATCTAGCGCGGAATACTTCCCGTTGCAATTACGCTGTAAAACAAACAGAATGCTCTTCCGGCCGCTCTCATTGCCGGTCCCTGTACGAAAATACGATCGTCGTAACGGAACTGGATTCGAAGAGAGAGAGAGAGAGGGGGGGGGGGGAGAGCAATTCAGAACCATTCGCCATTTTTCGACGATATGTCTTGGTACACGGTAAACAATTTTGTATTAGGTTTAACACATTTCACATGTTCCGAGTGGTTTTTATTATTTACCAACTTTTTATTATTTAAATTTCTCAAAGATAATGTGTACATCGAGAAAAAACGTTATAAGATTTTGCGAGAATTAGGTGTGTGAGTTGTCTGATCGATCCTCGAAGAATTCGTAAGGACGGAGCTAGGACGTAGTAACATAGGTCCGACGATGAAAATTCTACATAGCGCAGGAAACGTCGGTTAAAAGGAGTTGTAAACATGCCACCGGTCGGCTTTTCGGGATTTCGAATTGTTCGTTCTTTGTAAGTAAGGCGCCGTCGACCGACAACGAGTCGTCGTTAAGGCCATTGTTCTCACGGTTCTTCCGGCGCGTTAAGAACGTCTCGACGGCTTTGCCACCTCGAGTTAAGTAGATGTTTCTCGGGACGTCGGGTGCATTTTTAAATAATTCGATGCAAAGCAGCCAAGAAAAGACGCGAATTCTCTCCGGGTGCCCTTACCCGTGCTACCCCGGGGGCGCGGGAGGTGAAGGAACGAATGGAATTTCCATGGGATTCGTGCGCACTTCCTCGCGGCAGACGTGGCTGGAAAACGCGAGCGATTCGGAGCGACTTTTACAACTTAATTTTTGCGTATTTGCGAGGTGCGACGGGACGAGGTAGAGAGGGGCGGGTGGGGGGGTTGGCTTCGCGAGAGAAAAGTAAATTTTCCGACGCGTTTGCTCGCGCACACACGTCGCGCGTTCGCAAGCGACGTGCCGTTGCTGGATTAAGGACAAAATTGTATTAATTTTTTACCCAATAATTCCGCTTAACATAAATTTTTATGAAGCATCGTGCAAAATTGCAAATTAAAAAATCGACTTGTCGATCGAGTAAAATTTTCTCGCGCGAAAATAAAGTGCTAAAATGTAATATATCCAAGATTATCCCGAAAACTAGATACAATTACATTCTTCGGCCAAATGTTGAAATTGTATAATTTACGTTGGATGCAAACAAAATCAAAATTTGTCTTTTATCTTAATGAAAAATGAGTTTTTCAAACCGCGGTAAATTCTAGCGAGAATGAAATGATAAATAATTACGACAAAATATCAAAGTTTCTTCTTTATTGACAATTTAAATTTGCAATAGTAAACTGCCAAGTTGACCAAGTCAGGGAATGCGCCTTAGAAGGAATAACGCCGGGCGTTTCGCGTGGGAAAAGCTGCGTTTCTTTATCAGTATACGAAAAAACGCGAGGCATTGCTCTTCCTTATTATAATTTATTACGCTTATCTCGATCTTATGTTTTCCAGAGGATATACGTTGCGAGTCCTTCCCACTATCTAAATCTAGAGAGGTTCTTACGAGCTGACTATCAAGTAGCGAAGATAGATGCTAAGTCTGACGATGAGATATCACTCGGTAGGAATGCGGCGGTGCACTCACTAATACCAATATAGATAAATTCAACAAATAAATTGACACTAGATCTCGATATTTGCCGTAACGTAGCGATACGAAATAAAAACGAGAAAACCGAAGAAATAAAATTAATTCGACGGACAATCAGGGCATTCTGAAGTAAGTCATCTCGAAAGGTCGTTACGCCGCGAATATTTCGCGCTTTACGTCATTTCTAAATTCCACAATTTGCGCGGACTGTGAAAGCAGATTGCTAGTACAGATTACTATATATATATAAGACTGCGGTTTCGAATGGGAGCTGACTATCAAGTAGCAAGGATGGATGCCAGGGCGGACGGTATTAACCACTCCACCTATTGGTATTGGCACGTGCGCTCGGAGAAAATATCGCCGAGTCGAGAATTCGCGAATAAATCTAAATAACCTTCGTATCGAAATACCGCGGTCTTTCGTATCTCGATCTCGCGTATTTATTAAGAATAGCAATGGTTGGGAGGGTAGGTAAGATTTCTTTTCCCCCGTGCGCTAACAGATATATCATATTTTATTTCTCACTGTCTAATAAAAGAGAACACTCGGAAGAAACTCGCAGGTACAAAAGGCCCCCGTAATGTAGATACATACGGCTCGTAATGTACGCGACATGAAAAGTACATTTCGTAAAATGCATAAATATCATTTGACACACTACTAAATAATACCGAAATATAAACGAAGATTTATATATAAAAGTAAGGCCCATGACGAGAGACTCGAAAAATTATAAATAGCGGAAAAGGGAGGTATAGGATTCCTCTGAAGCAAACGCTTTATGTATCGTACAATTCATTCCTTGAAAATGGGATCAGACTATGAGGACAAGTGCTGTTTTATTTATACATTTCATTCTTCATTCAAATTAAAATATAAAATATTCGTCAAATGTATACAATCCATTATATAGATCACATGAATTAGCGTAGAAAATTCGACAGTAACAATACACGCGCGCGCGCGAGGTAATTCACGAACCTCGTTCGTGTGAAAATTAACGTGCAGATTGAATACTTGAGATTGAACGTTTCAATTTACAAACGCGTTCTATAAAACTTGCATGCGCACATACTCGGAAGTATACGTCATTCGATCTCTTTCAAAGACCCTTTTGCAAATCATTCGCGCGTAATTTGAAAAATACCAAGCAGCATAATTTTCATAATGGTATCACTTATCACGTAAAACCACCTCGAGCAAAATTCCCGGACGAACGGGTGCGTCCATCAATATATTTAAGTCGGGGGCACGATCTCTTGTAAACGGAAAATTATAAAAATACCAATACGCACCTCCTCTCTATCCGTCGCAAAATTTATTTATCTTTATCACGTATCAGCTCTACGTGTCGACGAGAATGGAGATAACGCGCGAACGCTTCTTCCGTTTCATTCTTCGTCTCGTGTCAGTTCAGGTCCAAAATGTCCCCGGAAACAAAACTATCTTCGCGATTCTCCTTTTGGCCTCTGTCGAAGTGACCTTCGGGCGACAGGTCCTTGCCGGTGAGTCGATTTCCAAAATTCAGAAAATCGCACGGGCTGCAAGCCTGCGCAGGTTCGGAGAAACGTTCTCTTTCTGGTCGTACTGGCCGTAATTACTCTCAAAGGTTTTTACTTGGAGCAAAAAGCTGTCCGCGTCATCGTTCTCCATTGACTGTCGGTGCAATCGTCGCGGCGACGGCACGGCAGCGCACTGCTGCAAGACGTTGTCGCAGAGATCCACCACGATGTCCGTTTCCTGCGGCCAAGTGTCACCATATTCTTGAGTTGTTAGGCTCGAAATTTATCGAACGGCAGAAGAATCTGCCGTAAAAATCAGTTCATTCGTTGCTTGCGTGCTCTCGTATCAATAGAATAGATTAACATCGCCATCATAATTGGCTTATAAATAATACATCATACATTGTTTCGTTAACTTCTTCATTGTTTTCGTAACTAAAGTATCAGTTTCAATATTGTGGTTGAATCAAAAAGATTTACTCCAATTACGGCGCTGTTGATCAATTTCATTGATACATTAGCATTTTTTCCGTAATAATATATTTACAGCAACGATCAAAGTTAGTTGATAAATCAAGATAAATGACGTGAATAGGATAACTTAAAAGGCACGCGCGTGTCCGTGCGACTGAGAAAAAGCCTCGACGATCGCCCTTTACTTACGAATTTAGTTTTATCGTCGACAACCTCGACGACATTGCCCTGCTCGGTTGTGGTGATAATGCCAGTGCCGAGCTTTTTACCGAGTATCTTCACCTCTTTTCGACATCCCTCGGAGGCCGCATCGATTGTGTTGGGCACGCAAGCGTTCGTCTGTATAGCCGTGTTTTTGAGGAACTGCTCGAAAGGACTGAGGATCCTGGCGTCTTGGTAGTGCGGAATGAACGTTTCGCGATTGTGATTCTTCGGTCCCAGAATCCTCACTTCGTTGTAACCGGGAAATACTTTCGGAGGCGGCTGATAGAACTTGTCACTGAAAAACTACAAAATTCACTCGTATAACGTGTTACTCGAAGAGCAATCGTTCCTAAAATCAATTTCATGTACGAACTTTGATACTCTGATTCCCGGGGTCAAGCATATTCATGTCCGATTGACCAAACGATATCAAGCCGATATCGCACTCGTCGTCGAACATAGAGGAGAGTTTCATCTTCGAATCGTATTCCGAATGGTGATCTTCAACGGGGGAGACACCGAGGATGTTTAGATCCTCCACGAAGCTCTGATTGCTCTTCAAGTATGGGAGCGTCTCGTTCAATAGCGACAATGGCGGATGGTTCTTCGCTAATAGAGACGATAACGAGGAGTGCGAGCTAGTGGACAGGTTCGAGGATTGACCCAAGATGCCTGTTAGGTCTTGCTGGCTCGTTGGCATGGACATTGCTACAATCGATAGACATCGATGAGAGTTGTAAACACACTGATCTCACGTTGCATATCGTATGCTTGATTCCAAAAGAGCGTCTTAAATATACATTTTCGCAAAAATGAACATCACGCGTCAGCTTTGTAAACTTTAATATTTATGTAATTTTCGTTTACAAAAAAAATGTTGATTTAAGGCTCCTGACTATTTGCTTTGATAAATAGGTTAAACAAGGACAGTCATAGTGCGTAATTAAGAGCTTTAAGATGGCTTCGAAATATACTTCGTTCTGCGTGTATATATATATATGTCTTTTTTATATTATAATATCGCGTTGATTTTAATTCAAAATTTAAGATTTAACTTGGGACGATAAATGATGGAATATTTTTAGTTAATTTAACTATTGATCGAGTTTTCAAGACATGATTTAAGTGAAGTAATGAGTAATTTCCCTGCTATTTCAATCATATGGATACTAGAATATACGTCGAGAGATATACGCGACAGTTCGGCGTGGCGTCTCAACTATTTTTATAAATTGAGACATTATCGCAAATTCACCTACCATCGCCGTGTCCCGCCAACGCGCTATCGCCGTCGATACCCAGCGATTTGGGACCGAGTATGAGATCGTCGAATTTGGCCTGGGAAAGGAATGTTATGCCATCCACGAAACGATCGTCGAGGCTTTTACCCTCGAGAATCCTAATGTCTTTGTCCTCGAGAATTTCGATGCCGTCCATTGACATAGATTTCTGGCCGGATTCCAGCACCATGATCTGATTATCGTTGTCGCCGATGATGACGTCATCGTTATTGCGTATATTGGCGAGATTGATGGCGTCCGCCTGTTCGCCGTCAAGAATCGTTACGTCGTGGGAATTCTGCGCCATCAAGTCACGAGCTTCGCTGTTTGTCATAATCTATAACGATAACGAGCGCGCGCGCGTAAATAGCACGATCGACGTTGAGTTGTTAAAGCTAACATATCGCGGTTCACTCTTAATTCCTTATTATAATAATACCGTATTGAAAGGCGCGTACGACACGCTTTCAACCGTTGTTTTGATTATGTTTCCACAATAACTGTAACATTAGTAATTTTGCGAAAGTTAGAAAATTGATAATCTCATATAATCACATCTTACGAAAGTAATTAAAATTTAGATTTAGAATATACATACATACATATATATATATATATATATATATAGAGAGAGAGAGAGAGAGAGAGAGAGAGAAAGGAGAGAGAGATTTTACGTGCAAAATCAGATCGACAGCGCTTCAAATGGAAGACATGGGATTCTAAATAGGATTTTCCCCTACGATTTGTTGATTCCATCAACAGACATGAAAATTAATTAGCTTTGCCAAGTTACTTGAGCAAGGGAGTCGTAATGGGAATTAGAATTTAATTAGGGCTTTGATAGAATTCGGATTCTATCAATAGATGTTAATCCGATTTCCAGAGCTAATTTGAAGAAGCGCAAAAGACAAATTCTAACAAACGCTCCAAGAGAGAATGTTATACGACACGTTTCGCAAGCATGGCGGAGCTACAGTTAGTAGTTCCCTAAATAGAGAAATCTATGTAAAGGAACGTAGGCGTCTGACGTGAATGTCCTGAATGTCGCATACTATAGGTCGAAAAGTCGATCGGAAAGACGTTGACGGCGTAATGCCAATTCCGCGTGGAAAAGTACGTCGCCCACGCAGAGATAAAGATGCCGAGAGGCGGTGTTAAATTTATTTATTTACTTACGAAATATACGAGCGAGAAAAATGTTTATTGTTTTTTTTATAAAAGAAAAGGAACACAAAAATGTTGCATTTAACTTATAAGACGATATGATAAAAGTTCCATTCTATGCATGGCATTATTTTAGCATATTATTATGGCATTATTTCATTTCTCTGTATTTTTATCGCGCAAATGAGATATAAATGCACGATAAAATCCGATGGAATCTGATAAAGACTAAAAAGTTTCAATAGTACTAACGGACAGGGGGATATTTCTCGTCAAAAGTTGACCAAATTTCCCTTCCGTCGGAAATTTAATTATTCGGTATATCGTGGTATATTTTCGTTGATGTCGATACGTGTTTATCGCAGATGCGCGTTATTTCTCAGTTTATCGCGCGAAACATCACATCCGTCGAGAATACGTTTATTATCAGAGCCGTCGTGCAAACACTTAGCGCAGCTTCACACGCAAGTATGTTGCCGCAATCGTTTCCACATTACCTCGTAACGACCATCCTCGGTGGCGCGAACAAACTGTATTCCGCCTTGCGCGGCCAACTCCAACAACTCGTTGCAGTCCTCCATCGATGGAGCCGAGTTCGGGCAGCTCTGCCGGTGGTCTGGTTCATCGTGATTCAGCTCGGATAATGAGAACTGCGAATCCAACGTCGTCACCAAATCGTCGTCCGCTGACGATAGATCAGAAGAAAACAAATTTTTTTTTTATGTCGTATAAGCCCGTACTCGCGAAATTACTTTCACTTCACAAGTGATTTTCGGGAACTACGTCTACTTTATTTCCCTTGCCTCTTCCGCTCGTCCGTCGAGTCAAGTGATTGACAGTCGCAGCGCATAATCTCAAGACCGACAAATTTATAAGACCTGTGAGACGTTCTTTAATTATGCAAGTTCTAATTAAGAATGTATTGCCCATCACTCAAAATAATGAAAAAAATTATGAAAATGATATCACAAATTAATTTACATTGTATTTAAAATACCAAAAGTTCCACAGTAACCCAGATCCTGGTTCAAAAATGATTCCGCTTTAAAGGAGATTTTAAGGTGAAATGAGTTTGATGAGGAATTCGATGAAACTTGCGCTGCATATATATTGAAATATTATCTAACTCACGTTGCTCGTGCAATCGTGAAAAAGGCTGACCATTCGAGAACTGAGACATTTGTAACTAAAGTTGACACTTTATACATGTTCCTCGAGATTAGCGTGCTATTTTAATTTTAATCTTTAATATTTTCTAAACTGAAAATAATATTTTGATAAAAAATTATGATTTTAAAAACTAATATGTAGACAACTTTTCGGAAATTAGGGAGCGTCTCATAGATTTTATGAAGTTGAATCCTGTGACTAAGCGCGACTGTCAGTCGCCTGGTTCAAAGAACGAACGGGAGAGACAAGAGGGTGGAAGTAGCTCTCTCGAAAATCGCTTCGAAAGCGTAAGTAATTCCAATACGAAATGTTATAAGCGGTCAGTATCGCGCGAGATTGACGAAAGCTCACCTTGCTCATGTTCCGCACTAGGCGGCTCGACGATGAAACTAGATTTGCCGTCGGGTTCGATGTTCTGTATCACTGTGGCGACCACGGGTACCTTCACTTGCATTGCCTTCGAGCCTTCATTGTCCGCGGTCTCGTTGGGATTCGGAGTAATTTTTCCGGCCATTCGCAAATCCTCGGCAGTCGCGGGTGTAAGTGCCTGCGGTCAACGGTGTGTGATTGTTCCATTTTGTTCGCTTCCATCCGATTTCAATAGCAATTTCAAACTCGAGTAACCGAGCGTGCTAATTTAATTTGCAATATTGACCGTTTAATCGCCACCCGTGTGGAAAGAAGCTATTCTGAAACGAACGACGAGCAAAATAGAAACGCGCCGCGATTACAACGATGTTGTCCTGTTCTGTCGTTTCCGCGTTGATCAGTACGCAAAGTAACAATATCGTAAATAATAACAGGGAAAAATGTTCACCGACTCTTCGCTTAAGATTTCGCTTATTTTCATCGCGACTCAATCTCCGTTGAATATGTATGTTAAATACTAATACTAATTAATATTTTAGTAACGCATTAATAATTCAGTAACGCGGAGTAATCAGCGCTGAACGGCTCCGTTGCAATCGGCTTTATGAAAGCTGCGAGGATTACCCACGGTAAGATAAACAAAGTAACAAGTACACTCACGAAACATCGAATCTCCTTCGCTGTAATATTGGATATATAACTTTTAATTAAGTTCTTGCGAAATCAACTAAAACCGAAGCTTCGTTAAATGTGCTCTCTAGTCAATAAAAAGAATAATTATATTAGGAAAAATTAAAGAAAAGAAATGGAAAGTAAATTTCGCAACCTCATATCGTAGCCGTCTTTGTTTGATGACATCAGAAGAGAAAACGCATGTCCAAAATTCTTGCGAAATACATTGAAATAAAAAGATATATTCATAAAATGAAATCTGTGAAAAATCTGAAAACTTAACTTTCGCTTTAATAATCAAGAAATAAACGTAAAATAGGAGCCCAGGAGTTTTAAATATTTTCTTGATATCAACATTTTTCTTTATTTTGTGAATAAATTTTTAAGAGTAAAAGCATACGATTCTAAATAATTAAAATATGATTTGTACGTCTATAGCTTTCGCTAAAAAAAACTACGGAATAATGCAGTTACACCGTTGAACGTGAACAATACTTACGTGTTTATTATTCGCGGTGGCCCAAACTTTCACGAGAATCGGTATACCTTTGGCGGGTTTGTAGAGAGCAAAGGGGATCTGCCCTTGGAGCAACGCCATCTCCATTGCTTTCGTATCGATCTTGTCTATCACAATGCTGTCCGCCAGATCCGACTTTCGCACAAGATTCCAAAACTGATTATATAATCCAATTCGTGGTATTCGTTATAAATGAGATTTCTACTAACCGAGTCCAAGTAATCCTCCTTTTTATTTTCGCTCGTTTGACTCCGGTCGCCATTATACAACTGTATGATTCGGACGTTCTTGCTGAAAACGCCCAATCACACATACCGCACGCTGAATATCTCGTTATATCATTTGCAATTTCGATTGGAAGTAAGTTATATTTAAAAAAAATAAATATTTAAAAATTAACATTTTAATTACTAACATAAAACTATGTCAAGACATAAAAATTCCCACCAAATGTGTCACGAATACAGATAAAATAGATAACTACGCGCATCCATATTTACGTTTCATCTAATATAACGTTCCGTGGTTTTTATGCCCCCTCCCTCTCGTGGTGTAACATAATTGTTCAATGGATATCTAATTATCGAATCGACATCAATCTCTTCCGTGTACCTTTTCGCGACATTGGATTCGTTCGCCGTAGCTGCGGACTGCGCGTTGCCCGTGCTTCGATATTTCACGCCGTGCTTATATTCCTCGTGCGATCTCAAAGCGAACCTGCGCGGAAATTCCTTTCCGCAGACTCCGCAAGAATACTGCATCTTGTCGGCGTGTGCGTGCGCTTTCATCTTGTGACAGACCAAATTCGACATCTGGTTGAAGCCCTTACCGCAGAGATCGCACTTGTACGGCCTCTCATTCGTGTGCGTGAACACGTGATTGCGCAGATTGCCTGAAAACAACGTTAATGGACGGATCTTTTTCAGATTCACAGGTGGCGATGCGCTTTTCACGTGATCGATACGCGGAAATAACCATCAAAGATTTGTAAAGTCAAGACCGGCCGAGGGTTTCACGTTTCGTGATTTACATTTTACAGCCGTCGCGGATTACGAAAATCTATCCGGTCTAGACATTACTGCAGACGGTTACGTAATTTATACGTGTATCTTATACCCTTCTGATGAAATCCCTTGCCGCACACGTGGCACTTGTGCGGCTTGTGTTCCGAATGCGTTTTCCGATGGGAGATCAACGTGGATACTCTGAAATTCGGATTACCTTATCAACAGAATGGTTACGAGATCCCATCGTAATCAAAGAAACGAAGGGGATAGATATCGCGCGGAGATCGATCGCGTTTAAACTTAAACCGTTCCCACCGGGTGAAGGAAAGGGGAGGGGGAGGCCAATTACCGACCTATTAAACGTTTTCTTGCAGAACTCGCACACGTAGGGCCTGGCGTCGCTGTGTATAGCTTTGTGCTGGCTCAATGTTGACAGCTGGCGGAAAGCCTTACCGCAAGCCTCGCATTTGAAGTTCCTCTCGTCGGTGTGTGTCGGCAGATGTCTCATCAAGGTGTACTGATGGCGAAACTCTTTTGAACCTGATTCGAATATTAAACGTGAAAGTTTCTTAGAGAACGAAAACGAGCGCGACGACACGGCGCGAGTCAGCGTTAGCGTTAAGAAGTAATTACTAGCTGCACTTGTGTAACCCAACAAAGATTTTTATATTTACACTGGTTCTTCTTTTTTCCGTGGTAACTAACCAAGGAAAGACAGACCGGCCGATAAAAATCTAATCACGACTATTGTAGCGATGTATTATTTTTAAATTATTGTGTAATGTTTAACGTATAATGATATACGCGTCGAACTATACAGTAAATAACATTTGGTACTTGCGTTAAAATCGGTCCTTGTTACAATGTTTGTATTCAACTTTTAACACACCCGTGTGTTAATTTAATATATTGTGTTTATGCTATTTTATTATACGCTTGTATAACATTTGTATCCTTCCACAATTATTTAAAAGCAATACATTGCTAATACAGCCGCGATTAAGTTCTTACTGGCCACTTTATCTTTTCAACCAAGGATTCTCATGTTATGTCTCGCGTGAAAAAAGAAAAAAAAGAGATTTGTCCGACATTTTCTCTTATTCGAATACATGCACCTCGTCGTATAATTAAAACTGAATACTAAATTACTAATTCAATCACTAATAATAGTTAATAACTAATAATTACTAATCGATAATTTATGTAATGCGGGAGTAGAACCGTCGCTTATGTAAAATTTGTGCTACTTGGCTAATTCTCCCCCGAACTGAATTTGTACGCAATTGCTTTTCGATAAAGAGGAAAAATCACGAAAGTCACGCACAGATGCCGCATTCCCAAATCTTTAGAGTCTTGCCGTCTCGTTTGAGATACTTGACAAAGTGCAACCTGGACCTCGGGTCATCCTTATCGACAAGTCGCGTCGTCGAGCTCGAAGGACCTTCGGCAACGGGACGCGAATACACGACCATGTTCTCGTCGGGCGCGCTGGCGCTTTGCTCGAGGATCTGAAAAAGCGGAAATTGCACATTTCAGCGAGAACACCAACAAGAGTCAGTAAACAAAGGAAATTCCTCCATTTGCGTTTGTGGGATATCATGAAATTCGATGAAATATCGCGGGAGCGAATAATACGTGCAACGATCGGTCGCAATTTTCCAGGATTACGTTAAAGCTGTGAAAAATCGCCGGTTCCCAAGGACGCTTCGTCGTAATTGCGCTATACCGCGAGGCAGATAGGCAAATACTTGGCGCATAAAAGCGTAAAAACGAGCGTATGCAAATGAAATTCTTCAAACTAAGAAGAAAGGGGTACAGGCCAGATAAACGGAGCGCCGCCGGCCGCGTCAGGCGAAATATTTCATGCAAACTGTTGCTGTAACGATATGCGCCGTTTGCCCGCCACCTATCTCTCGGCAAACAACTTTCGCGCTAATAGTTCGACAAATATTTAAAATACCTTCACTGTGCACTTACTTTATACCTTAGCACGTCCTTGCCGAGGAATTTCGCAACGGTGCTGTCGATATTGATTACATCCGAGTCCATGGTTGCGTCCGTGTCCACGCAGTCAGCCTTGAAAACGGTTTCACATGATAGCGGGTCGTTCTTATCGGTAAAACTGCCATAGCGATTAATTACTTGGATCAACTGCTGATCGGCTGCGCTGCTTAATCCCGACACGCTCGGCGCATCGTTCCTCGAGTCCAAGCCCGACGACTCCTCCTTCACGTAAACCTCGTAGACGCTACGTCGCCCGATCGGTTTCATAAATTCCACAGATTAGTAACGCGATTGTAAGCGAGAGCAACTGCGGCTCAACCCTCTCGCTATATCATCGTCACCTCGTTTAAATGCTAACATGTCAATTACAGGCAAAGGGTTTAGCTGTTGAAAATAGTGAAAAAGGTGAGTTTCATTCTTGAAAAAGCAAGAAAATAATGAGCCAGCCTTAAAGAGAAATAAGTGAAAAGTGAGTCTTCTCCAAGTAACTTGTATGTTAAAAATTAGCGTGTTCATATGTTACACCATTTCTGAGAAATTAAAAACATTGATCTTATAATAAAGGTTAATGAAATTTTAATTTTGAACAAAAAAGTTATATGATACATCATGATAGTCATTGTTTGTTTTTTATGTTTATTTGTTAATAATTTGCTTTGGTTTGGTGGACAAACAAAAATTATTGATGAACAAACGTGTACAAATCATGAACACTTGATTCCATTACGTAATTGAGAAAAAATACAATCAGGCATTGTCTATTTTTTCTCACAAACTTGATAAAAATAGCTTAAAAATAAAATCATAGTTCTTCACTTTATGAGCATCGTGTCATCGAAATTATCATCACCTTCTATTTTCTTTGAATCTTTGATTTCGTCTTTAAAGAAGCTAGTTACTGAGCATGATTTCTTGTGATCGAATTTTTTTTAAGAACTCAAATCTAGTAAGAAAAAAGTGAGAAGAGTTGTTTTCTTAGAAGTAAGAGAAAGTTCAATGTTGCTAAATAAGTGAAGAAAAGCGAGTCACTGCCATGCCTGCAATTATTTATTCGTTCCGTCTGCACGGAGAGAAATAATTTTGCTATTGCAGCGAAACCATCGTTGCTATTGCATATCCGTTGCAACAGCGGTTAAATTTAGTCGGCATAATCAAATTAGTGAATTATTCGTAATTAGAGCAGAAATGGTTTCGTTTTGCCAGGATAACAAAATGTTGTTGAGTGAATTGAAACTGCGATAAAATTTAGTTGATAAAACCAAATTAGCGAATTAGAACAAAAACAGTTTTGTTTTGCAAAGACGGACAAATTTTGCTGAGTGAATCTGTCTTCGGGACATGCTAATTTACTTTGAGAACAAAATAGTGTTTCCCTACATTTATTAATTTGTCCTTGTAGCAAACAATTTAACAAAATATTTCCGGTGAATGGTAATTAGTACTCCAACAAAGTTTTGTTGTTCATATAGTAACTGACAGATTTTGCTGCGGCAGCATGAAATTTGCTGTGGAGTAAATTATTTTTCTCCGTGTAATTATTCGTCAGCTATTACTGGCTCGATATTTGCGCGAGAGGGAAATTAACTGCAGCGGTCGCGAATAATTTATTAATAAGTGCGTCGATGTTAAAAAATCTAATTAAACGCATAAATGATTTTCTTGGTAAGCTCAATTGAAAATATTATAAACTTATTTGCCAAATAGATGGCATTGCGTGTAACAGATAGAATCGAACATTCCCAAAAGACGATACTGCACTGTTAGAATTATACAATTCAATCATTGTTTTCTTTTTCTCGTACACGACGTTTAAATTAAGGTAGTTCACGTCCGTGCTTAAGCTAGCGACGTACGGCAACGTATAGCGCAAGCTCACCTGATAACTTCGTCCGGAATGGGACGAGGATATTGCACCTGCGCATCGTCGTACTGAGTTTCCCCTACGAAGTCGAAAAGCATTCCGTGGAAAGTGTTGTCTTATCTTAAAAATAATGACGGTACATCGCCACGCGGATATTTGATATTTTACATCACCCCGTCGCGATCGCGCGCGTTTAATGTTACACGGAGCGACGCACTCGGAAATTTATATTCCTCGTGATTACGCGTGGCGATATGTCATTGTCTACTTTTTCAACTTGTTATATTTTATGTATTTTATGTAACACGACGGAATTCTCGCGTCGATCTAATGGACTGTAACGTCTATAAGGATATTGATATGTATATTAAAACGAGAGAGATTCGGACAACGATGATGTTATCTGCAAAGAGACGATCGAAGATATTCCAGCCTTGCTAAGAAATTTCTCCGTGAAAAAGAGAGAGAGAGAAAGAGAAGAGAGAGGAAGGGGGGGGGGCGAGAGAGAGAGAACTATTGTTTGGATAGCGTAAAGACGGCTAATCGGCACGGAGATAACGCGTCGCTTCAGTATTGGGCGCCCCCCGACACACAGCTTACAACTCGGCTCAACTTTTATCTTTCACGAACTGCGTCGCGCGACTTCGACATCACCGTGTTATATTCAATCGTATTTGCTAATTTTTTCACGCTATTTACGAACCGTATATTGCATTTTGCCGTCATTGATATTGCAATATTTATATATTTTGCCTCTGTCTTATGCATATCTGTCGAGCGACCATAAATAATTAAATTCGTAGCAGTAATTAAGTTGCAGGATAAATGGTGAAACCAAAAATGAAACAATATTAATTACTGAAATCAAATCAAATATGTATGTGTACGTGCTTATATATATACGTACGTGAATTCCCCAAAAACGGAACAATTCGCCATGATTTTCAATTATGCGACAACACGCAGCCAAATAATATTCCACGGTTACAATCGAAAAGCATATCCGGAAACGGTGTCTCGCGGGAGGCGGCGACGACACCGAAAATGTTCGAGAGACCTCCTCGCACAATGCACGAAACGCGACGCAATCGCAGGATTTCATCGCGTCGGAATTTTCCGTGCCGAAAAATCGACGTGGACGGCACGACCGATCGTCCCTTTGCTCGCGGCGCAACTCGCAACCATCATGGCGACGATGACGGCTCTCGGCTTTTTTGTCTCTGGCATTAAATAAACGAAAGCCGCCATGATCAGAGCTCATTTTTCACGCGATGCATTTTTCACGTGTGAATCATCCGCGCGCGCACGTATCCGTGGTCCTCCTCGCGATTCATCCGCCGAGGGGCGGTACGGCAACGACGACGACGACAGACGAAGACGAACACGACGATAAGGACAACGATGACGACGAAGAGGACGAAAACGACGACAACATGGGGTTACTTACAGTTGTATTCTTGCAGTGAGTTGCTCCGCGACATTTCTCACGCAGTTCGTCCTGAGTCCTGGCCTTGCCTGGTTCCGGTCAACGTCATTCGCATCGACCGTCACCGGGGATAGATCCTGAGGAATCAGGTCACGCACGCCGCGTGAACGCCGTCTGCCGGCGGACTTTGAATTTAAGATTGGCAGGAGCGTGTCCTTTCGAACGCAAGCCTCCTTTGGCTTCTTTTCTTCTCGCGCAGAGCTTGATCGGTAACACTCGAAACGTCGCGACCCAATTCTTCCGCGACTTTAACTTACTTTTACGCGCGACCGATGACGCTAAAATCAATCTCTCGCGTGTCCGACGGACCACGTTTCCAGACAGCCGATGGTAAATGCCGAAGTGACGAAATAAATATGGCGCTGCATATAGCGAAATGCATAATTTAACAAATGGTATATATATTTAAGAAAGTTATAGATAAAAAATTATAAATGCAATCGGGGTAAGTAAAATTGAAAGATTTCAAGATATCAATTTCTGAATTAGAAACCTGGCGTAATTCGATAATTAAGGTTAAAGTTGTGCATAGTAAGAAATATTTTGCACCTTTGTTAAAATCGGTCCATGTTAAAAGTTTTATGTCGAATTCTCAATATAAGCGTGTGTTAATTTAACATATTGTGATGGTGTTATTTGAAAATATTTAGAATTGAATTTAATATTCTTTTGTGTAGAAATAACACAATTTATATGTAAATAGGCGTTTAACATGCGCGAGAGCGCGCGTCTTATCCCCGCAGAAAGACAATGCGGTAGTTTTCGCGACGAACGTTAATCAGAGGCCACTAAATTTAAAAGAACTCGGCGGCGTGTGTCGGCTCGGTTCAAAGCTACGCGAACCGACTGCACGATAGCAACGATCGCACTTGGTCGTTCGCTCGCTGCCTGGCACCCTGCGATTATTTACAAGTTTTAAAATTATTTTTCCAATGCTAATAATTACCATTTGTTAATTTTTGATATATTATTCATGTCACTTCATTTCATTACTTAACGTATTATATTCACTGTCTATTAAATTAATATAAAAATTTCAGTAGACGTTTGGAACATGTGAAATGTGTTCAATTTAACACACAATTTTTTACTATGTAAATTTTAAGATTACATTTATATGAGTAATTTACATATTGTTTACGTGATATCTTTCTTTCATGTAGAAACAATATAAACTATATAAAATATAAATTACAATGTAGGAAGGGGATAAATTATTAGTCTAAATTATTTTAAACTGTAAAATAGTTCACGTATCCGATTTCGGTATTAATTATAAACATATTTAATATTAAACACTGAAAAGTTGATATATATATATACACATGCAGGTAACAGAGAAATTTTATTATTTCAATTCACCTGAGTTTTTAAACGGGAAAAGGTAGTGTTCCTTAATTCGTGATTACAATAATATAACATTTATTTTCCTTTTTTATCAATATGACATCAAGTTTGCCAAATCCACTATTGATTTTTTCGTAGCATCGTAAAATACTAAAATTGCGCCATTATATTTAAACCAAAATAATTTTACAAGTGTTTAATAGATTACATTACATTAAGCTAAGTTAAATATAATCCACTTTATGCATATTTAAAATATTTATTTAATGACATTTATATCTATATATCTATAGCATGATAATAGATTAATCTATTATCATGCTCTGCAAACAAATTCTATTATATTTCTGCTAGAAAGTTATCAACAAAATTTATAACAAATACTGTGCAAAATCTCCTGCAGATTTAGCTCTTTGACTGGCTTTACGAGTATATATACAGGCAACATTCATTTAACGTATCTCCAATAAATGCCAATATAACGAATATTGAAGTAATATATCACCAATGAGTTGTGCTACTAGGATTCATAGATTCCTTATTGTCTACATAAATGTCACATTATACATGCAGTTTATATTATCTTCGTATAGACGTAGACCGATATATTTTATGCGTAAACGACCAGCCCTAGTCAAGGTGAACGAGAGTGTAGACCATTTTTTCATTTCCCGGTAAGGAAGGAGTGCATTGAATCGCGTTTCTAATTTCAAATGCGGTTTTCTCAAGTCTCGGCTCGCTCAAAGCTCGGCCGTATCCTTCGCCCCGATCGGGCCCAGATATTTGCGCGTGTAGCATTAATATGCCGGGAAACATCTGGATATCCTGTTCGATCGGAGAACTAACGGAAACCATCTCGAAAGCCGGAACCGAAGAACCACTCTCCTCCTGTTTCCGAATTCCGGTCAGGTATGTCGGCAGTGGCGCTTCCCACCTACCTACCTACCTACCTACCTACCTATCGACATGGACTCCGCCATACTCGCCCGACTCAATTATGACTTGCTACTTCTTGTTAGCCGCTGTTTAAGTTACTCTATCCAGTCTTCCTTCCCACGGTCCTTCCTTCCTTCCTACCTATCTACCTACCTTCCTTCCTCCCTGCGTCCTTACTCCGAGGAGTCCGCTGTCACTTCTATCTTTCGCTCATTTTTCCGTCGAAGCTGAGAAACGCGGTTTTCCTCGCGAGCCAGCCAAGATGTTCGAATGAAACACGACGAACTAATATATCGCATAAACTCAGATTCTTTCTTTCGCGATCTTCAATCTGTTCCTTCGCAGAAATTTGGAAACTCGTACGACGTTATACGATGTGTTGCTTCGGAACTCTTTTGCGAGAGCGAGAGTAAAACGTCGTCTACAATAAGAATTTAAGGAGTAAAATAAGAATGTGCGGGAGAGCAAATGAAGTATCGATATTTTGTATTAATACGAGTCGAAATACATAATACACCGATATATCGATTAAAAATGTATCGATGTGTGATGATAGAGAATATCTTTTCGACATATCTTTTAGATATTACTTCGCCTTAAATTCTTATTGGAAACATCGTCTTACGTTCACGAGCGTTGTTTAATCTCATTGTATAATTCAACTCCGTTCTTAAACTGCCTTTCGAAATTTGAAAAAAATGCGTGTAGTGTTTACGATCGGCCCGACACAAGGAAAAACTACCGGCGAACTACGCGCGACTCGACGCGTCAGCACGCCGATGTTTGCCAGCTACTTGCGAACTGCCGAGGAAGTGGCGGCAGTTCTCCTTGGCTGTTCTTACTGCAAACTTCGTCTCTTTGGCGCACTGCATGAGCGGAACAAAGCATACTTCTCTGTCTCGATAGCATAGTATTACGAGCACGCAGGAAGAAGCTCTCGAATGACGTTAGAAATTGTGCGCTCCCACCACACGTAAGAAGCTAATTTTGGCACGCGAGACCTTGTCCGACAGAAATTTCGATCGCGACCAGATGTAACGTAAGTTAATCAATTTCGTCAAGTTGATCGCCCCCTTTCCGATTGGCTCCGAACGATTCTTCCATTTCGAAGTTTATCATCCGAGAGGACGTAGCGCTTCGTCACTCGCGTGTGAAGCGAACTTTCATTTGAGATTTTCCACTTTTGCTCGAAAATATACCCCCTCTCGTTCGCTCGTATTTTTAGATAATACAGAATTGTTTTTGTTCCTCTTCTCCGTCGGATATTACGCGAGTTCCCTCTCAAAACTATCGATCGAAATTTTTCGCGAGGGTGCAAGATTTCCCAATAAAAGCGCGGTCATTAGAATGCCGAAAGAATTGTTTTCTCGGGGAACATTTGATTTACCTCATCAGCGAGTTCTTAACTTGGGCGTCGGGTTTGAATAGCGGTCGGGTGCTCGAACGAAATGCTTTCACGAACTCGACTCGGTGAGTGGCTGTAGAAAGGTGTGAGAATCTGAGCGAGATAGAAAGAGGGAAGGAGAGAGAGAGAGAGAGTGAGGGGATGAGAGGGTGAGGTTGCGGGGTGGAAAAGGAGTGAGCGAGAGAGTTCACGGCGGCGTGGGGTGGCAATTTGATTTTGCAACCTAGATAAAGAAAGCTTTCTTCCTCGTTATTGGTTACTACTAGTTCCGACCTCCTCGCTCCTTAAACCCGAAGGAATTTCTCACTACTGGATGGAGCAGTCCGGGGAGATAGTTTCGTCGACGTGAACTTCTAATACGATATCTATATACATATACGCGCGCACAGCGTAAATTATAGCCGCGCTACGAAGATGCGTGACCGCGTAGTATAGGTGCTCTCAGTGCTATCGAATGTACGGCGAGCAGCTGCCGTGAGATGGATAGCCTTGTATCGGAATGACCCGGCGGTAAAATGTGCGAAGCTGTTAACGGAATCACTGTCAGAACAAACCTATTATTTCTTATACATATATACACGATTATAATTAAAATCTTACTTTGAACTAGAGCCGAATGTGAAACATGAGAGTATGTCGTATTATTAAAAAATAAAAGTGAACGTAAGGGAATCATTTCGTGGAAATCGTTTTTTCTAATCGGTTTCATCTTATTTCTTTTTATTAGTGAAAAAGTCATGTGTGTAGGAGTAAATAGATCTTTCAATTAACTTAATCAGCCATTTTATCTTCACATCATTAACTTCAAATTTTTGTTTATTAAGAAGAAGATTGATATTCCTCGAGAATTATTCGTACTCGTACGTCACGAGTTCGCGAAGTGAGTACTCTCGATGAGTTGATTTTATCTTGTGACCTTTTCACGACTATAAAGACCATCGCTAGTAACGTTTTAGCTCTTTAACAGAGTGACTTTGCACTGAGAGAAAAATTTCCAGAAAATATTAAGACGTCTTAAAATGTAAAGATATCTTTTAGACAATAAAATGTCTAAAGGACATCTTGAAGACGTCTTTTAGACATACGTGTTTGGGTTTTTTGATATTTGTAGCTACAATCACATAAATGAAAAATTATATAGTTAATAAAACAAAATATATTAATAAAATAATTTTTCTAATAAATGTTATTGCAATACCAGTGTATACCATAATTTCAATGGGGTTTCTCTTAGTGCAAAATCCCAATCTTCACACACGTAAACGCAATGAGTGAGAGAGGCAACTGGAAGATACACATTTTAACCC